ATAATACAACATGCCCAAAAACCCATTGAAATTGAAATCACAAGTAAAAAGTAAAAATATACAACATGGAATCACACTTTTTTTCATTTGTTGTAGAAAAAAATTGTATATTATTCTTACACAATAAAAATTTTTGAATTTGTCGTCGAATTTGTCATCTAAACTGGAAATAAAGATTTATGGAAACAACTGAAAAGAATAGCTGAAATGTTGACAGCAGCGTTAGTATCAAGCATCCAGTATCAACAATATATTGCCTCAGTTTTTCCCAGTTCTTACAACAGTCTGCTTTTTGACATTGGTATAAATTTAAACATGAGTACGGAGAAAACTGTAATGAGTCTGCCTGGAGTCCGGTGCTCATCATTAAACATGACAAACTGTGTGTGACTCACAGGACCTCCGCATGGCTTTGTACTTTCTGTAGTAACAGCTCTGTCTATCAATCATGATTAACAGTCTGCATGTCGTATGAAACAGAAACAGTAGTAGTAACAGTTTATTGTAGTTTCCCCGTGTTACACGTCGTAAACTCCATTGTTGTGGTGTCAGAGTAATCACGACATTTCCAACACGGCCGCCGCGCGTGTGTTTCTGTGTATGTCAGGACAGGGACATGCATTATTAACCAGCCAGCTGGAGAAACTGTTGGACCACAGTGTCTAGCCTGGTAACCAGACTGGCGTGAACTCAGTGATATCTCTTCGGCACTGGTAGCGTTTCGGGCCACCAAACCAGGCCTCAATCATCGCATGCCGAGGGTAGCTTTTTGCAGACGATTTAGTTTTCTTTGACTTTGGATCGGTGGTAACAGAAGACTGAGAATACAGGAAGTCAGTGGATGCAGGGAAACCAGCTGGAGATAGTATATCCGTGGTATAACTCGCCTGTGCTTGGTAAAGGCCGGGGTAGGAAAATCACCGCCAAGCCGCCCAAAGGTTTTGTACCCAGGCTATCGCTGGCAGTATTGGAGGACCCGAGGGTTCCAGACGTTTGACCTGCAGCCATGAAACGCAGGAACAAAACCCTGGTGTACAGGTGCAGGTGTCTCTGGAAATGTAAGCAACACAGAACTGTCTTGTACTGCTAAAGAAGAGGAAAATGTTTTGATGGCCCAAATTTGTGCGTGTGTGTGTGTGCACAATTGTGTGTTAGTGTAGACCTGTATGTCTGTGTTTGTGTGTATACTTATGAGTGAGAGATACAGATACATGTACATTTGTAGCATGTGTACATTGTCAAGTATCTGTGTGCACAAGTGTATGTGTATAAATGTATATGTGTATACAAGTATATGTCACAGTGCACAAGTATATGTACAAGTGTATGTGTGTGCAAGTTTACATGTACAAGTATATGTGTGGGCAAGTATATATATGTGTTTGCAAGTATATGTGTGCGCAAGTGTGTGTGTGTTATGAATATGACAACATGAATGAATTTCCAAGAATTGCACTTTCCTTGTGCTCGATTATATATATGTAGTTTTGTTTAGTCTAACTTTAGATCTGATATTTGTCGCAGACAGTAAATATTTGAATTTATTTTGTTTGCTTGTCTTAGGTAGAAAATTATTGAATTAGAAAGTAGATTACCTGGTTCACAGTGTTTCATGTTTGTTTACTTTGTTTGTTTGTTTGTTTGTGTCAGGTTCAGGAGGAGAGGAGAATTTCCTGAACAAGTACGACTCGAAAGGTTCCCCCAAACTCAGCCACAGGAGTAAGGTATGGTAGTTTTTTCTGTAACAGTTGTTGTTTTTTGTGATGTTCCACACATCCACACACGGCCACACCGATTTAATTTTATGGATGACATACTCTGAAGACCCCCAAATTAGTGCGCGCGGGCGAAAAAAAAAAAAATTCCGGCCAAAAATAAAAATGCTACTCAACCACAGGAATACAAAGCTGGTATTGTGAATTGGCTACAGTACTTAGTGACGTATATGTCAAGCCAGCACATGCTGGCTTTTTGCGGCATTTATGAATTGGTACTGTATGTATGTACAATGTACTGAGTTCTTGAGTCGTGGAGCTTCGAATTCGATAGCCTGGGTGCCCGGCTCCGTTTTGTCTCTAACTACCATGGACTACCCAGGCCTAGAATCAGGCCAGAGCCTCGGTGGACGTGATCTTTTTTTTTTTTTTTTTTTTGAGGGTGACAGGCGAAAATCAATGCGTGCGTGGATGTCATCCATAAAAAGTCGGTGTGGTCTTATTTGTATGTTATTATAAAACATGTTTACATGTAAAAGTGTGTTTGCATCCTGATGCTGGGGCTTTAATGGCAGCCCAATGGCCATTTGCCTCTATCCTCTGGGTCATTATACCATCTAGTTGGACTAAATTCTATACGATACGCCGGAATATGTGACAATGCGCTTTACAATTATAGCTTGGGTTCCATCCTGGTTAGTTTACGTCCGCTCCCACAGTCGCTACCAATTGCGACTGTGGGAGAATTCTATACAATTCCCCGAAATATACATTTGTAAGAACTACCTATAATTGGAATCCTTTGTATATAGGTTAGGGTAGTTTAAGTGCAGTTTTCTGTATTGCATGTACATCAGCTTGTTGTCTGTCCTTGTGGCATGTGCTCGTGTAAGAGAGCCACCTAGAGGCTAGTTATGAAACTGCACTTTAAGTGATGGTCTGTTGTCCCATGCCTCTGGGTAAGAGGGATAAACAATACCAAGGTTATTAAGAGAGAGTTGGCACCGTTTTAGCCATCAGTGCATGTGGTTATATCAAGGATGGAAGCTTCTTGGTTATATGGATCAGTCAAGGGCTGATTTGGATTGTTTCTTTGTCTTTGAATTAATCCTTCTTTTTGGGTTAACTCTGATGATGTTTCCATCTGCCATGACCCAGCTGATTTTTATGGAGTTGTTCAGCTCAATGATGATCTTCACACTCTGGTATTCACAAGTACAGGGGTGACGAATCATGGCTATAGAACAGGAAGGGTGAAAAAAAGCATCTGAAAGGTCTTTCTAGATTATGGCCAGATTGAAGATTATTGTTACATCCAATGACTCATGGGTTTTATTTTGAAGAGATGTAGTTGAGATAGGCTGGTTAAAAATTATTATTTCTCCCTCTACATTTTTTGTGATGGTAGATCCCATGTAAATAAGGAATACCCTTACATCACCTTCCAGTGGACCGGCCCGCCCTCCCCATTAAAGGTAACTTGGTATCTCCCATGTTGTCATCTCCCCATTCATGGCCAGATGTCAGGTAAAAAATCACCCCACAAAAAACACCCCTGTAGAATCCACAAATGGATCCCCCCCAAATAAAGCACCACAAATTCCATCTCCCTAGTTCCTGTCTCCATGCCGCTGAAATCAGTTTGTAATTCCGGGTTTTTAGAGGGACAGAAAACCTCTCCCTCCGCCCTGCCCACCCCCGTAGGCGGAATGGACGGTTCCCCATTTATCAGTGAGGCCCAGTGAGAGAGAGAGAGGCAGGAGGAATGTAGCGGGAGGGCCCGTGTTCGATTCCCGGGAAAATCACGTCTTCCAGCCGCAGCCGCCATGGACCTGAGTCCCAAGCTGCGGATCCGATCCGTGGGCAGGCTGAGCAGTGGGGTAAGATAAAGGCTTAAAGCTCAGGGTTTTGTGTGATACTGTGACAGCTCTGACCATGGTCAGGGTCTAGGCTGGCTCCTCCCTCATGTCTGTTTGTGTTTCATGCAAGGAGCTTTCATCACAAAGATGTGATGTTAACTTACGTTGATCAGGCCAGTTTTGGGGGTCAGGATGACATTTTTGACACCCCATAACTTTAACCCCGACATTGGAATATTGTGTAGATTAGAGGCAATAGAGTTAGAAGGTTTCATGGATCCCCCTGCACTACTGTAGGGTCCTCCCTGTGATAAGCTACAGGGATGATGCCTCTGTCTGTTTGTGCTCTGGTGATCAGGCCAGTTTGGGGGGGGTCAGAAATTGACATTTTTGGTATTCCATGAGTTATCTGTAACCCCAGCAGTGGTATATAGCAGATGTATCTCAGGGTTTTATGTCAGCTGAGCTGGGTAGTGGGGTAAGCTACAGGGTTTGTACATGTGTCATGTGTGAGTGACAGCTCCAGGCTGGTCCCTCCCAATGCTCCAGTCTGTTTGTGTTATGGTGATCAGGCCAGTTTTGAGGGTCAGAATGACATTTCTCATACTCCATGTGTTATCTGTTTCCCCCAGTAGTGAAATATTGTGTAGATGTGGAGTGGAGTGGGAAGGGTTTGAGGGATTCCCCAATACTTTAACTGGGTCCTCTCTGTGATAATCTACAGGGATGATACCTCTGTCTGTTTGTGTTATGGTGATCAGGCCGGTTTTAATAGGGGGTCAAAATCACATTTCTGAGTTATCCGTAGCCCCAGCAGTGGTAGCAGATGTATCTCAGGGTTTTATGTCAGCTGAGCTGGGTAGTAGGGTTAGCTCAGGGTTTGTGCATGTACATGTGTCATGTGTGAGTGACAGGTCCAGGCTGGTCCCTCCCTCATGCTCCAGTCTGTTTGTGTTATGGTCATCAGGCCAGGTTTGGGGCTCAGAAGGACATAATTACTGATACTCCATGTTACATGTATCTGTAACCCCAGCAGTGGAATATTGTACATAGATGTGGATAATCGAGTGGGATTTAGGGTCTCAGGGATTCCCCTGTACTTTAACTGGGTCCTCCCTGGGCCTGTTATCAGCTGTACATAGGGATGGTGCTCTTGAGAGGTGTCTGTTTATGTTATGGTGATCAGGCCAGTTTGGGGTCCAGAATGACATAATTTCTGATACTCCATGAGTTATCTGTATCCCCAGCAGTGGAATATTGTGTAGATGAGGTCTAGGACATGATGCAGAAGTGGGTTATAGTGGGAGGTTTTCAGGGATCCCCCTGCAAGTTACTGGGTCCTCCCTGTGATAATCTGTAGGAATGATGCCTCTATCTCTGCCTGTTTGTCCCTTTTTACATCAGGCCAGTTACAAGGGGTGGGAATATATTTATAGATATTTCCTTCAGTGGAATATTATATGTGTGTGTTACAGGTTAGTATGAGTGAGAGGTTGTGTGTGTATGTATATGGCAGCCCCCTGTGGCTGACTACTGTAACTGTTTGTATATGCACATCTGTAGACTGGGCCTCTCAGGACTGAGCACTGGGGAATCAGAGGGTTACATTTCACAACATCACACAGTCACACACACACACACACACACACACACACACACACACACACACACACACACACTACACACACACACACACACAC